GGATTGTTTCCAGATTTTGCCAATACAAAAAGTGCTGCACGAACACTCAAGTTAGGTCTTTGTATGGACATATGCTTTCATTTCTCTTGGGTAAACATGTAGAAGTGGAATGGCTAGATCACATTGTATGTATACACTTACCTTTTTAAGAGACTGTTCTATTTTCCAAAGTGGTTGAGCCACTTCACACTCCCACCAGCAGCGTATGAGAGCTCCAATTGCTCTACCTTCCCATCAATACTTGGTACGGTGAGTCTTTCAAATTTTAGCCATTCCAATTGGTGTGTAGGTATCTCATTGTAGTTTTAATTTGCATTTCCCCAATAACCAATGATGCTGAGCATCTTCTTATGTGCTTTTTTGTCATCTGTATACCTTCTTTAGTAAGGTATATGTTCAAATCATTTGCACACTTTTAAAATGTTTTTTTATTATCATTGAGTTTTGAGAGCTCTTTATAAACTCTGGACAAGCCCTTTATTAGATATATAATTTGCAAATATGTTTCCCATTTTGTGACTTTTCTTTTCATTCCCTTAACAGTGTCTTTTGAAGAGCAGAAATTATTAATTTTTATAAAATCCAATTTATCTTTTTCTTTTTATAGATTATGCTTTATCTATTTCATATTTTTATGCTATTATAATAGGTATTATTTTTAAAAATTTTAATTCCTGATTTTTTTGTTGCTAGTATATAGATACACTTAATTTGTAAACATTTAACTTGTATCCTGCAACCTTGATAATTCACTTATTAGTATAAGTTGCTTTTTTATAGATTCTATCAGTTTTTTTCTATATAGGAAATTATGTTGTCTGTTTATAAAGATAGTTTTATTCTTCTTTTCCAATATGGATGCCCTTTATTTCTATTTCTTGACTTATTGTACTGACTAGAATCTCCAATACAATGCTGAATAGACATGGTGACAGTGGATATATATCCTTGTCTTCTTCCTGATATTCTGTGGCATTCTGTCTGCCACTTTAAGCATTATGTTAACTGTAGGCTTTTTGTAGATTCCATTTATCATTTGAGGATATTCCCTTTTATTCCCAGTTTGCTGAGACTTTTCAGGAATAGATGTTGAATTTGGTCAAATACATTTTCTGTGCCTTTTGAGATGATCATATAGTTTTAGATTTTTAGTTTGTAAATATGGTAAAATACATTGATTGATTTTTTTTTTTTTTTAAAGATTTTATTTATTTATTTTTCCCCCAAAGCCCCAGTAGATAGTTGTATGTCGTAGTTGCACATCCATCTAGTTGCTGTATGTGGGACACGGCCTCAGCATGGCCGGAGAGGCGGTGCGTCGGTGCTCGCCCGGGATCCGAACCCGGGCCGCCAGCAGCGGAGCGCGAGCACTTAACCGCTAAGCCACGGGGCCGGCCCGATTGATTTTTGAATATTAAACTAAAATTGTGTTCTTGGGCTAAACCTCACTTAGTCATGATGTTTTTGGATGTATGATGTTTTGTTGGATTCAATTTGCTAAAATTTTGTTTAGAATTTTAGCATTTATATTCATGAGGGATATTGGTTCATTGTTTTCTTTTCTTGTAGTGTCTTTGTCTGATTCTGGTATCAAGGCAATGCTGGGCTCATAGAGTGAATTGGAAAGTGTTCCTTCCTCTTAATTTTTCTGGTTTATTCTGGTACTATTCATTTTCTGGGATTATTTTTCCTTAATTGTTTTGTAGAATTCACCAGTGAAGCCATTTGGGCCTGGAGTTTTCTTTATGGGAATGTTTTTAACTATAAATTCAATTTCTGAAACAGATACAGGACTATTCAGGTAATCGATTTCTTCTATAGTGAGCTTTGTTAGTTTAAATCTCTCAGGGAATACATCCATTTCACTTAAGTTGTCAAACTTATTTGCATAAAGTTGTTCACAATATTCCCTTATTATTTCTTTAATATCCATAGACTATCTAGTGTTGTCATTGCTCTCATTCTTGTTATTGATAATTTGTGTCTTCTCTGTTTCATTCCTGGTCAGTCTGGCTAGAGGTTTATCAATTTTATTCATCTTCTCAAAGAATCAGCTTTTGGCTTCATTGTTTTTCTCTCTTGTTTTCCTGTTTTCTACTGTGTTGTCTTCCACTCTGATCCTTATTATTTCCTCTCTTCTGTTTACTTTGTGTTTAATTTGCTCTTCTTTTTCTGGTTTCTTAGGGTAGAAGCTGAAGTCATTGGTTAGAGACCTTTCTTCTTTTCTAATATAGGCATTTAGTGCCGTAAAATTCCTCCTAAATACTTTAAGATGCTTTAGTGGCATCCCACAATTTTTAAAATTTATTTAATGTCTGTTTTTTTTCTTTCCAGCTTTAATGAGATATAATTGACATATACACATACATTCTGATATGTAGTGTCTTCAGTTTCCCTTTTGAAGTTTTCTTTGACCCTGTGCCCTTTGATCCCCTAGATACTTCTTTCTCTGGCCTCAGGCAGTTTCATTACCTGCATGTGCTAATCAGCACTCTGTTGATGGCTTGAAAGGGACTCTCTGCAGACCTCTGGAGTTCTCTGTCTGTACATTACTCTCCTCTCTGCTCCTCTGTCTTTGTCAACTCTTCCCTCCTTGATTTTCCTGGACTCTTAGCTATATCTCCTCAACTCAAGGAGTTGGACTCTGCCTGAGTTCCTTCTCCCAGAGCCACAGCCTTCATTGTTTTGTTCAGTGTGGTGGTGATTTGGTTGGGAGGTTAATTCTGTTCCCTATTACTCTATCTTAGTCAGAAGTAGAAGCTGGCAGTATTTTTGTTTTTGTTTTACAGCCCAGTATTGGATGTTAAAATCAATTTATTGGGTTATTACCAGCATTATAAAATGAAGTGGGGGCCGGCCCGGTGGCATAGTAGTTAAGATCTCACGCTCTGCTTTGGCAGCCTTGGGGTTTGCAGATTTGGACCTGGGCACGAACCTACGCACCACTTATCAAGCCATGCTGTGGCAGGTGTCCCACATATAAAAAAATAGAGGGAGATGGGCACGGGTGTTAGCTCAGGGCCAATCTTCCTCAGGAAAAAGAGGAGGATTGGCAACAGATGTTAGCTCAAGGCTAGTCTTCCTCACCAAAAAAAAAAAAGTGGTATAAAATAGAAAATAAAATATTAGTGTATTCCATGTATTTAGAGTAAATGTTTTGTTTTGTGAAACTTTTTAGTTATATGTATATATGTGTGTGTGTTGAATGGTGATACAAAGGGCATTTCTTACTGTGAGTGATGGTCAAGATAGTCTGAGAAACACGGTTCTAGGTACATCATATTCCAGTACAGGCAGGCATCGGCAACACTTATTCTCCATCTCTGCCTTGAAGAGTTCATATGATCTGGGGAAAATTATCTCTATTTCATTTTGCCCTTCTGAAAAATATTCATCATCTCCCACAAAGCCATGGTCCGAGAATCTCTGAAATAATGTCTGTGAAATATCTTGTAGGTCTTAAAATTGAGATAGGTACATAATTCTACCAGTCAAGAAATAGTTATTGATGGCCCAGTGTGTTTCAGGCATTGCACACGATAATGTTGAGTTACCAGTGTGAATGAGAGGGAGGTTCTCCCTGGCCCAGTGCCAGAACATACCTGGCTACTACAGAAGGCAGTAGGTAAGGCTTTAAGAAGTGCCATGAGAACTCACAGGCCAGAGGAGGTTCTGAGATGGTGGAGATGGGAAGAAGAGTGTCCTGGGGAATCATTCAGATGGATTTGCAGGGTTACAGGTTAAGAAAGTGAGAATGTAGAGGGCCTGTTTGAAGAAACTCAACTATGGTTTATTTCATTTACTCATTAAGCAACACACATATGTATTTTAATACCTACTATGTCCTTGAGACATATCAATGAACAAAATAAAGATCCTTGCCTTCCTGGAGTTTACTTCCACTTGGAGAAATATAATAAACAGTAAATATAATAAATAATTAAATGGTCTGTTAAAAAATGGTAAGTACTATGGAAGAAACAGCAGGGGAAGGGTGATTAGAATGGGGGCTGCCACTTCTAATTTTAAGTGGGAGATATTCAGTGGGGGCATATTTAGAATCTAAATATAATAGTAGTGTATATCTATTATAATACAACTTCTAAAAATTTTCCAACATAATTAGAATCTTCTGGTCTGCAAACCACGCTGAGACTGCCCCTCCTTGGGATGCTGCATTGACACATTGCGGCCACTAGGGTGCAAACGGGCCACTTGTGAGAAAGATGAGATGAGGGTGGGAGTGTGAGAGAGACGAGGGTAATTGTGCACACACTGCTCCCCTAGGTGTTCCTCAGGGTCGGCTCCACTCAAGGACACTGGCAAGACACGCGGAAGAGTGTTACTGCTCTGTGACGTGGACCAAGACATTTTTGTCCTCACCCAGCAGGGGATCCGGGCCAAGTAGAGAAATGAACTTCAGCCTGGTCATTCAGCACCCAATGCCTGTCACAGCCGAGTGATGGTGGAGAGAGGCAGACCTGCTGGCCTTGTCTTCCGGCCCTGCAGCAAGATTTCTGGGTGCTGCAGGCGGATTCCCGCGGTTACACTCGGCGCCCGGGATCTGTACAAAAGCTCCCCCAGACTCTTTCTTTTCCCTCGTAATGTTTAAGGCATACCCGAGATCTAAGCATTCACCTTGACATTCGGTTTCTCGATCCTTCCCACCCCCAGCCTCTGCGGGCAGATCGGTGACCATTCTTATCTTTTGGACGAAATCCCATCCGGTCGCCCATTTTCGCTCCGAGAGCTGCCCGCCTTTTTCTCCGGCTGTAGCTCGGCGAGGCCCGGCGAGCCGCGCGCTGACAGGGCAGGGGCGCGCGCTTCGGGCGCCGCTGGTTGCGCATCTGGCGCCAGAGCGCGCCCCTTGCGCAGTGCCAGGCAAGGCCGCGGCGGTGGGTTGGTGCTCCCGAGCGTGCCGGGCGCTCTCTCCCCGCGCGGGGGCACCAGAGCCCTCGGAAGTGTCAGGCACTGCGGTGCATTTTCCCAGTTCCCTTTTAAATGACTGCGGAAAAACAGACTCTCCGATCCGCAAATGGGAAGAAGGATTCTCAGACAAGGCTTGGGAATGCCCCGCAGCCATCATTTAACTGCGCCCGCAGAGCAGTTACGGTTTGTCACCCGACCCTCCCGGATGGCCTCGTTTGTCTCTAGTGAGAACCCGAGGCTCTGCCCGCGCCGGGCTTCTTGGTAGCTGGATGCATGTCGTGCTCGGGGCAGCGCGGGCGCAGGGCACGCGTTCGCGCACACCCGCGCACACACGAAAACGCGCAAGGTACGGCAGGGGAGCAAGGGCTCGGGGTGCCCCGCGTGGGGGTGGGCATCGCGGGGAGTGAAGCTACGATCTGGGAATGGCTGCGTCCTGCCAGGTTGAAGGATGAGAGAAAATGACGCGGCGCCACACATCGGACAGGCCAGGGTTGCTGCCGCGCATTTAAGGAACCCAATACGCGTCAGGCGCGTTCCCTTCCCCTCACATGTCTCTATTTCCCCGGAGTGTGATGCCAGAAAACGGCAGAAAAAAGACCCACTTAGAGAGCTAGAGCTGCGTTTGGAGATTCCCCTCTCTCTGCAAAAGCACCAACAGGAAGACCCTCCAAAACCACGGATCCCCGAATAGATGGCCCGGAATGGGGGCGGTTATCTTTGGTTACTAATGCTGAACACGTTTTGGTGTTTACAATATTTATTTATTTTTAGGATTGCTCGCCCTCCCTTTTAGGCACGATGGGAAAGGAGAACGCAGTGGGGAGGGAGAAGGGAGGGAGGATTCCTATAATAAGAATCAGCGCATTTTTCAGAGCTGAACCGAGCCGGGTTTCCATTTCAAAAAAGGAGGCAGCGTTTACTGCGAATGTAGAAGAGACCGCGGTGTGACTTAGGGACTGGGAGGCGTCGAGCGGCGGAACGGTCCATCTCAGAGGTACCTGGATCTAAATGCAGACACACACTCACGCGCGCACACACACACAGGCGCGCGCGTCTACACGCCAGGATGTGTGCGTGTGTGCGCGTGTGTGAACTCCCACATGCTGCTGCTGTCTGCTTCTGGCCAGTGGCACCGATGCCTCCCTCCTCCCTGCTCGCCCCCAGATTCCCCTCCCCTCCCTGTTGCTTTTGTCTGGAGGGTATTATGGGTTTGTGTGTGTATGAGCGTGTGTGTTTTTGGATTTCAGACTAATTTTCTGGAGTTTCTGCCCCTGCTCTGCGTCAGCCCTCACGTCACTTCGCCAGCAGTAGCAGAGGCGGCGGCGGCGGCGGCGGCGGCGGCGGCGGCTCCCGGAATTGGGTTGGAGCAAGAGCCTCACTCGCTCCTTCGCTCGCGCTCTCCGCGCTCAGTCCCCGGCGGCAGGAGGAGCCTGGACACAGGCGCCTCCGGCGGGCGATAGGCGGCGGAGCCCGGTGAGCAGCGCGGACAGTGTCCTCCGTCGTCTCGGCCCTCAGGGTCCCCCCTGTGGCTGCCGCGGCGGCTCCCCAGGTGGGACGCGCCGCGCCACCTGCCCGCGCCCCCTGCGCCCAGAGGCCGTGGCAGATTCTGCAGCATCATTCGGAGGCTCTGTCGCGGGGCCATCGCCGCCGGCAGCCTCCGCGTCCCCCTTTAAAGGGTCCTTCACCTGGCCTGTGCCATGGAATCCTGTCTCAGGGACCCTTGCCCTATCTCCCCTCCCTCGACCTTAGGCTTAGAGAAAGGGTGGGAACACTGGTGGCCCAGCGGTATCAGTGCCATCGAGGGGCAAGTTTATTTCTGGGGCCGGAGCTGGGCACTCATCCATACACAGTCTCCCGGCTGGGGTCGGGGGTGGGGGTAACGCAAGCGCGGAGGGAGAGTGCCCCAATTCGTGGTGTATGGGGTTCTGCACTCAGTCTTATGCGTGTCTGTTTGTCCTCAGCCCGGAGGTGAGTCCCGGATCCCAGTGCGCGTCTAGCAAGGAGCCTGCGCCCCAGAGAGTCCCGGGAGCGCCGCCGGCCGGTGCCCGGCGCGCCAGGCCATGCAGCGGCTGCCGCGGCGGAGCTCCGAGCGGCGGTAGCGCCCCCTGTGAGGCGGCCCGAGATGCCCCGGCCACTGTGAACGGTGCCACCCGCCAGGACACGCTCAGCTCCGGACACGCTCTGCTCTGCGCGCCCGCGACAAGCACCGAGTAGAGAGAGCGGCGAGCGCGGTAAAGGCCACCTAGCATTGGCAGGGGTGGCCAGCCGGTGCAGCGCAGGGTCACTACTCAGTCTGACTCGGGCTGGCACTGGCGGCTAGGGATGTCGTCCTGGACCAGATGGCATGGACCCGCCATGGCGCGGCTCTGGGGCTTCTGCTGGCTGGTCGTGGGCTTCTGGAGGGGCGCTCTGGCCTGTCCCATGTCCTGCAAATGCAGCGCCTCTCGGATCTGGTGCAGCGAACCTTCTCCTGGCATCATGGCATTTCCGAGGTTGGAGCCTAACGCTGCAGACCCTGAGAACATCACTGAAATGTGAGTTCCTGGTGTTCCTACTTCTCTCCTTGCCCGTAGGGCTGCGGCTGACCGGGCAGGTCCGTCCTGGGCGTGAATGTTGTCTCAAGTCTGGGGAAAGTCAGAGATGAGAGACGCGGAACTGGGCTATCTGTCAGTTACCTGTCTATTTCACAGGCTTGGGGCTGCTAACGCGGGGAGAAGTGTGACTGTTTAAAGTATGTTTTAAATATATATGTCAATAATATAAATATATATATTCCTGGTGGGAAAGGATTCCATATCCACTTTCTATTTCAAAGGCCTGCTGAATGTGCTTTAGGCTCATCCATATGCAATAACTTAGTTTTGGACATATTCATTTGGTAAGCTGCTGTGTGTGTGTGATGTTAAGAGAACTTCTTTGACTAGAAAGGATGTTAAAATAATTTACTTTCTGAAATCTGTTGAAGGAGGTTAGAGTCTCCCCCTTAAAGCTATCTCTCTCTTTCTCTGAGCTTTGCAGTTCACCGATTTCCCTTTTCATTTAATATATCAGATTCTGCTTAGGAGATTGCATCCAGAGATGGCCTTGAAAATGATCTGTAAGAGGAGAAGTTCTGAGTGTTGAAATGCACTCGCTCAAAAGAGAAAATGTGATCTTGGAAGCCTAAAAGCCTGTTTTGATTTAATTTGGACTTGACTTCCCAGAGATATAATTTTGAGACCATTTGGATTATAAATCTTAATTGCCAATTGAATAATTTCCCAGGACTAGGTTCGATGATAAAGCAGTGTGTAATACTCTGATGAGTGCTGCCTTTAGCACGGGACCCCTATGCCCCTGGAAATGTGTGCGCCTGTTCTGGTCTGATAGAGAAGCAGTATTGTGTATTTCTGTCCTTCTATTCTGATGCCTTGTGACAAATACATTACCAAATAGAAATTCACCAGCCCTTTCTCCAAAATTCCCCGGCACCTCGACTAGAGATGTTTTATTTATTATTTCCTAGGGACTTTGTCCTTTTATCAACATGAGATTTTATTCATCTGTGTAGAGGATTGTAAGGCAAAGTTTCTCCCGGTTTTCCTAACGGTGTTTGACGCTAAGGTAGGCAGCCCTGAAAGTAGGGCTTGGGCTGTGGCCTTCCGGTTGGCGAGTGCGCATGCTTCCCCCCCTACAGAAAATGCACTCCCTGTTTCTGCCAACGTAGTTGACCGAGATAACCTGTTTTTTAATGTAAGTAAGAGACTTTCCTAGTCTCTGTTGTTTGTTCTGCTGGTGATGCTCATGTTATAAGGCTCGGGCAGAAGGAAATGACAACAGAACAGAGGGGAACCTGCAGGCCTAGCGGAGCTGAGATGTGCCGGGAGCAGCCAGCTGTCAGGCTGGATCCAGGATGCTCAGGTCTCAGTCTCTTGGCACGGACAGCAGCAGCCAGGGCCGGAGAGGAAGGGAGGGCAGGGCCCCAGCTGTGCTGGCCCTGGGCTGGGCTGGTCGAGACTCGCCAGGCTGGTCCAAGTGTCTGTGGCCTTTTGTCAGGATCTGTGTCTTTTTCATGAGATGGGGTGTCAGTAGTTGATGCAGGAAGCCATAGGGAATTCAAAGCCCTTCAAACTATTAAGCCCATGAGGAGTGCCTTTATACAGCGGGTTGTTGGTTTTTGTTTGTTTGTTTTTAAATTCTTTATTAGATGATAGATATATAATGAAGGAGGAAATGAGATAGGGCCAACCATTTTACTTCAACATTTTTTTCACTTTAATATTTTTAAGGCCATAATTGGAGAAAAAGAAAATAAAACTCTCCTTAAATTTAAAAAATATTATTTTAAACCTTAGTGGTCTTAGCTGCCTGATATATGTGAAATCAATGGATTTGAGCAGGGCTTTCTTACATCCATTCTCACAATCGCTGTTATCGTGCCTCGTATATCTGATGGCAGCTTCCTATTCCCAGGCTTTTTAAAACTGATTTTATTTTATATTTACCCAAGAATTTGTCACAGCTATTCATTCAAAAATGGCTCTACTAATTTCTATTCTTATTTTTTTTCCTTTTGATTTGAAAATCTACTGAGATGGAAAGATTTGAGAGGTGTGTAGGGACAAGCGTTCGGGGTGGAGACTTAGGTTAGTCAGGCTGTAGCTGTGAGCTGTGAGAAGAAGTCTGCTCTCTGCTCTGTCCCTTGGCCTGGTGGGAGCCCAGCCAGTCTGTGCCCTGGTGTCTTTATCTATAAAATGTATTGAAATCCTTGTTTGGAAAGCACTTCATATAATTATTTTGAATTCTACCGTTTTGATATCAAAATGACATCAGTGGATGAGCCTGTTTCCCTCACATCCTTATATGACACCATCTGTGCTCTTTTTCTTACATATTAATATTTGCTTGAACAGCTTTTAAATTCTTGGCCAGTAGATACCAGCTACAGTTGGAACCACATTACACATTTTTTTTTTACTTTATTGTTAGACCCAATGGAATTCCTAAAATAACCTGATTTAAAGTGTTCTGGTTTAACGATGTTTAGCTGAAGTTACCTCTTTCTATTTTTTTTTAAGTAGGAATAATGTAAGTAAATAAACAGTGATTAGAACTTGCTGAAGCAACAGTTTACTGTATCATTTAAAAATAGTATCTCTTTCAATATCTATATATTTGGGGAAAGTACAGCCACTGTGCCTTTTAGGATTCAGAGAGAGCCTGTGGTTGAACATTTTAAAACTATATGCATAGATTAATTAAGAAATAGAATTTTATTTTTTTCTACATGCTTATTTTAAGCCAAGCTGACGTCTTCCTTTCAGAGTCATTGTTTGAACCTGTTATTAAAAATCTTCCCATCCCAGTATGTAACTCCTACCTTTACCCACTAACATAATCATCTCTCTCTGCCTATAGATATACATCACATCTCCCCAACGTCACACTGCTGATAAGTGCCAGCTTTTGTTATTTGGAGATAGTTTTTACCAAAGCAGTGCTAAATTAAATTTAAAAGCAAAACCATTGTCACATATAAGTGGAATTCAAAACCATTGTCACATATAAGTAGAATTCAAGAGTAAAGCTTGTTGTTGGAATTATGTAACCAGCCATGTAAGTCTCAGTTGTAGCAAGTGCCAAAATGCATTGCAAAGACAAGTTCTGTCTAAACTAACTGGTGAAAGGCATAGTTAAAATAGGGCATGCATTTTTTTTTGTTGTGGTCAAAAACACATATAATTTACCATCTTAACCATTTTTAAGTGTACCATTCAGTAGTGTTAAGTATATTCACATGGTTGTGAAAGAGCAGGCATTTTCATATTGCCCCTATTTTATGAAGACCAGTTATGACCTTTTTTTATGAGTTTATTGGTTGTTATTCTCTGATTTTGGGGGTAATGGTTGGAGAAAAGTCTAATATTTTTCTTCTTAGTACAACATAAATAGAATTTGCAGCTTCTGCTGCCAGAGGGAGGTTCTATGTGCAATTTATTGTTGGCTTGGTTAAGCAGATGTAATGTTGTGTTATTAATACATTGATTTTGGCCCTCTCACCTTAGTAAGCTTTTCCACTCTCATTAATTGTACTAAAAAAAATTCTGGCATTTATAAGCATTCAGTGAAAGGCATCGGTTTTTATTACTCTGGTGTTTACTTCTCAGCCCCTCCACTAGGGGTTCTAGAACTTTGGATTATGCTTTGCATGCATTTAAGAACCACAGACTAAGTTTCAAGTGTGGTTACATAAGCCACACTGGACCTGTTAATAAATCAGGCAGTCCAATTTACATCATTCGTTATTTAGGACAACTTGCAAGCTGGAGTTGCAAACATGCTGTCTTCAGAGTGAAGGTATTTACAGAATTCAGCTCAGCACACCCATTTGCAGTCTTCTTAGTTTCGTACCTTCAACCTCTGCAGTATGGAGGGTTTTACTACATCGGGTAAAACAATTGAAAAGCCTGTGACCCTTCTGACTGCACTTTCTTCCCCCTCCCCCTCTCCATCACCTCTCATTGACTACACAAGAAAATGTGTGTGATTTTTTTCCTACTCTGAAAAGTGATATTTCCTTATGGGAATTCAGAGCACTAGAGTTAAGAGAAGAGCCTGGGTTGTATGTTATTACAAGCCAGTAATGGGAAGTTGAGATAATGTGGTCACAGCTCCCCAGCGCTGAGTTTAGTTCTGTTTAGGCTCTGTCACTGTTTCTATCCCATAAAACTCTGTTTGTGTCTGTTTCAATATTCTCTTGTAAAGACGTTTTCTAAGCTGAAAAGTTGGCTGAACAGTTGAGAGTCGAGGTCTCTTTCTCCCTAGGAACATTCTCTATGATCTCTTTGACTATATCTAGGTCATAGGAGTATAAAACCTAGAGTTTTTGTTTAGCTGAGAAAGGGAAATTGAATTTCTTTTTTCTTTTTTTTCTTTTTTTGGTTTCTTTTCCTTTCTTTTCTTTGCCTTTGGTACTAAGGAAGTGCCTCCAGTTTTAACTCATTGCTCATCTTGCCTGTTAGAGAAAGAAACATTACCATGAATACCATACACTGCCGTTATCCCTCAGACTAACTTTGCCATTTCTCTAGAGAGCTTCTTGTAGGTTCAAAAACTGCAGGGTAGAATGTGGCATTGAACCTGCTACCCCTCGGAGCAATGCCAATTTGGTTCCTCTTGATGTTTACAAATCAATTGGATGATTTTGGGGAGAGATTATTTAGACAGGGCAAACGTTTTACTTGTTTGATGTGTGTGAGAGACAGAAAGGGAGAGAAAAAAACTGAACCTTGGATTGTTAATAGTTGATTGATTGTTTTCATAATCTACTTGGTTGAGCTATTTTAAAGCACAAATCTCACCCTCCCCCCCAGGTGACAGAGATCTGAGCCCTGCAGTGGCCTGATAATTTTAGCTCTATATTTGATTGCTGATCGAACTCCATTAAAAAAGGCAAAGATCCCACATAATCAGGGTGCCTTCTCACCACTTACTTTGCTCTCAGGGCTGTCCAAAGGACTAGGAAGTCGTAAATATTGATCTGGGAGAGGAAGGA